AAGAGAAAATCTTTGCCTGAGACTGTTTAAGTCCGTAGATTAGTATTGTTGGGATAATGAAATATGAGTTTTCTTAATCACGATAATCAAGTTACGAAACCATTAGTCCTAACCTTTCGATCAAGGGTCATTAACGTTTAATCCTCCATCTGGTGAGATCGACAAACGAATCTCTTCTTCATGTACTTTCATTCGAAATGAACGTCCCCCTAATAAGTTATGCCTGTTTTGGGCAGCAGGAGAGTGTGTTGCGTTTTTGTGGATGGCGGTCAGCACAAATTGCAGCCTCGAGTATGTGTGAGTGCGTGCGTGCGTGCGTGCTTTGGGCGTAAGTTGCACGGCAGAGCCAGGGAGAGGACGAAACGTGGAGGAGGCCGATCGATACGCAGCCTCGGATTGAATGGCGGCGTAGAAAGGCGTGTCAAGACGGCGCAGGTGCAGGTCGGCTGAGCCGAAGTGACCACGCCTGTGGGATGAGTCATGCCGACGAGGTGAGACAAGCGAGCGAGTCGGGCGGCAGTCGGTCGTGCGAAGTGGCCCGGCTTGCTTTGCTTGGCTGGTGCAGACTGGGCCAGAACCGGAGGCTGTTTCGCGTCGCGCCTGGCCGGTCGGCTTCTGCTCGTCCCTCCTCGCAATTTCCACCTTCAAGACATCGCCCATACCCTCGCCCTCGCCCTCGCCCTCGCCCTCGCCTTCGCCCTCGCTCTCGCCATCGTTGACATGCGATGGCCTCCAGTCCTGCTTGCGCTGCCATCCTGTTGGGCTGATCGACGAGCCCTTCAGACGCCGGGCTGGTCTGCAGGTCTGTGAAAGTGAGGCGGCAACAGGCGCCGGGCATCCACCGTGTCGAGAGGTCTCGTGGGGTGGGGCGGGCCGTGCGAAATGGACGAAACGGCAGCTCGAGTGCCAGCGAGACGCGGCCGAGTCACTCGAGCGAGGAGTCGTCGTGGTCAGCCCTTCGAGATGGTCTCCCAGCCGGTACAAGCGAGTGAAGGTCAACAAATGCCCAAAGCGGGTGGTGGCTGGTGATGAATGGTCTGCAGTGTACGACCCCTCTCCCCTGACACGGGCGACAATCCATCCTCGTGTGCTGTAGGTATGTTGATGGCCGGAGGTTTATGGTGAGGAGGCGTTGCGTTGTAGGCCGTCTCGGAGGGAGTGCAAAGTGAGATCTACAGCCTGTCTGTCTATACGCTCATTGTACAGGTGCACAAAGATCACTGGCTGCCGTTCTCATGTGTTCATGCCGTGTACATTTAGGGTGCTTGGAATGTCTTTTTCACACACAGTCGGGTGACTGCGGCTCGAAATTCCCCATACATCCTCTAAGCGTAATCCATGCATCTCTTCCTATTTGTGTGCCGAGCAGCATTGAAAGGGCTCATCTAACTAGCATTATATTCCTCCTTTCTAACTGACAGTAATGCTAGCTCAGAAGTTCTGGTGACGGTAGTAATACTGCATAGGCTTCATTGGCACGTTTGCTTTGCAAGATGATGTACAATCCAGTGGGCAAGAGTAGTCGCCACTCTGAAAGGCAGCAATGGAATGCTCTTTCGCCTTTGCAACACCAAGGCGACACCGATTTTCCGTCCTACAAAGCCTTTTCATGAAGAACAACAGCCTCTTGGCCAGGAAGTCTGAACATGGCGTTCCATGAAGGAGCCCGG